TTTTCTGTGGAATTTTGCATTTACATTATATATATTCTTGAGCTAAGCTCTCAATTTCTAAGGAGAATTTGCCCCAGATACAGCTTTTGCTTTATGGTGATATCAGCAATAAAGTACTAGTCAAATGCCTTCCACTAAGCATCCCGCTTTCAAAACATGTCATAAATTCTCTCTGACATTTGCTATTGTATTATTTGTAACCAATAAAAGGCAGAGATTTCACAGAACTGACAGCTATAGGGTCTAAAGGTCTGTGACAGTAGAATTATAATTTGGACATCTGAGCGTCATTTTCTTCAATCTCATTTTTGGGGCTCTGCTTGATCAGGTATGGAAATAATTTTAAGCCATTTCTATGTTAGTTATTCATTCATTTGTGGTTAAGCAAAAGCTACATAATGGGATATCTGTGCTCTGGCCAATATGGGTATCAAAACACGGTTTCTGGTGGTATAAGTCCACAGACAAGCTGCTGAGACACTGAGGGGCCTGTGTTAGTTAGAAAGCTAGATAAACTATGTAAGTTTTAGGGCATTCTATTTTATGGGTGAGTGGAAATATTTAGCATTTTAAATTGGATAACAAATTTGTGAGGCCACATTATTATAAGTAATTGTAATTTTCAGTTTAAATATGCAGCTGTTCTAGAAAAAAAGGGGTAATTGAAATTTATTTCATGTTTTTTGTGGTGGTTACAATGTCGGTAAAAATTCTTTGTTTGTTTTGAATTTTCGCGCAAATTTACATGAAGGTTATCTGCGCTAGCCGTCCCTAATTTAGCAGTGTAAGACTAGAGGGAAGACAGCTAGTCATCTCCACCCACCGCCAACTCTTTGGCTACTCTTTTACCAATGAATAGTAGGATTGACCGTGACATTATAACGTCCCCACGGCTTAAAGGGCGAGCGTGTTTGGTGTGACGAGGATTCGAACCCGCAGATTGCGAGTCGAGCTCTCTAACCACCTGGCCAATCGGTAAAAATGACTAAGCCTGTACAAATAGAGCTAATAAAGCAGATATGAAATACTTCGTCTTTAACATAATTTTACCAAAAATATTAAAACAAAATGAGTTTGAAGATGCTTTACTCAATTGTTCGTATTATATCACTCTCTCATTTACAGGAAAATGCTATCAAATATTTTATTGTTTCAAAGTTTTACTTCAGATATTAATTCAGACCAGATTGATGCAAAGCACGAATTATTATCATTGTTGGCATAATTGTATCATATTTTATGAAACGAAATATACATTTAGTATAAATAAAATATGGCATTTCTATGCAAATTATTTTCATAGTGTGTATGTGTAATTTATATATGATAAATCTGATCAAAAACACCTTACGTGTAAAATAAGAAAAGGTGCAGCCAAAAAAGGATTCAGCATGCAACTTAAAGAAATGAAATCAAAATTGGCGACCAAACTAGTAGATACACTTATAGCATTGATAATAATTTTACAGCAAATATTCATTCATTAGTTAGCCAGGCTTTAGAACATGATGGTGGGTAAAATTAAATATGCGGCCAAGCTAACTAATGAATGAATATTGGCTGTAAAATGCTTATAAATACTATAACTGTAGCGTACCAGTTTGGCTGACAATTTTGATTTCATTCCTTTAAGTCGTAAGCTCAATGCTTTTTTTTTTACACCTTAGGTGTTTTTTAATAGAAATCATGACTTTTTGTCAGTATACACCAACAAATCATACCAAATAAGAAAGTGACACTTGATAGTAAGCCACATTAACTTTAGGATCGCAACCCTATTATTCAGAACAGTCCTATACTTTACAGAACTGACCAGATTCTTTAAAATATATGGTGGTAGTTTTCCCTTTCTAAAACAGTGTTAATAACTTCCTTTATAGCAACACAATTGACACTATATTAACAGTTTCTTGTCATCACTTGCATGCACTTGGTATAGCCGTATCAAGCATCATTATTTATGCTAATTGCTTAAACTAATATCATGTGATGCTAAACGATCTTTAATTAGGAGAAGTCATAAGATTTAGTAAATTTGTGCTTAAAAATTGGCAAAGAATTATATATTTACGGTCCATCCGTATGATTCTTTTGAAAACTTGAGCCAGAAACTGCTAATCTAGTTTGTTTGGCATAACCAATACTTATGTATCTGCACGTTCTTTCACCCTATAGTTTTGCTGCTCTAAATCAGCTATCTTTAATCTAAATGGCAAAAAACTAAAAGTGGTCCACTTTTACTCTTAGGTGAAGCTGTAGTAAATATTTTAGACCAATAGCTCACGCGACTTTTTGCGTAGGCGTGCCTAAACATTTTGTTCAAAATTGAGTAGTTGAATAACTTTGCACATGTGGCTTATATTTAGACCAAATTTGACACCTAATTATAGGTTGTAAAGATGTATCAGTGTATTAAATTTGAAAAAATCCGTAAAAGTTGGGTATGTTTTCTATCAAATTTTCGGTACTTTCTGTGCAAAGAAAACAACAAGGAAGAACAAAAGTGGAATTTTTATATTTCGTGTGTTTCTCAATGGATTGCCTTGAAATTTGGTGAGTGAAGAAAGGGTCCAGTAGAACACACTCACTGAAAGTATGTGATAGTTTGGATTACTACAGTCTGAGCTATAGAAAGTGAAAAATCGTTAAACATATTCATCTGTAATAACATACAGGGTGTCCTGCAGGTTGTTTTGGCTGCATGACACACTACCATGTGGTTTGATTGTTTGTTTTTGAATTTTGCTATCCAGACATTATAAAGATTTTGCATATGAAATTTCAAAATTTGCTGATGCATAAAAGTATT